ATCAGATTAAAGAAATCACACGAAAGGGAGTCCCCTTGTCTGAAACCTCGTTTGGTATGAAACGGCTCGGAGAGGTCCTTCCCTATACTGACGGAGCTGGTGGTATTGCTCAACGTCATTTTACACAGCCGTATTAGCTTCGCGGGGATACCAAATTCAGACTTCGCGGCATAAAACGCTCCTGCTCTGAAAATATTCAACGCGGGCCGCGATGCTGGTAACAGAGGAAGAGGAAGGCCTCCTCTGCGTTGGAAAAACCAGGTGGAGAAGGACTTGGCTTCACTTGGCATTTCCAATTGGCGTCAGTTAGCACAGAAGAGAAATGACTGGCGTGCTGTTTTGGACTCGGCCAAAATCGCTTAGGCGGTTATACGCTCCTGCTCTGAAAATATTCAACGCGGGCCGCGATGCTGGTAACAGAGGAAGAGGAAGGCCTCCTCTGCGTTGGAAAAACCAGGTGGAGAAGGACTTGGCTTCACTTGGCATTTCCAATTGGCGTCAGTTAGCACAGAAGAGAAATGACTGGCGTGCTGTTTTGGACTCGGCCAAAATCGCTTAGGCGGTTATACGCTCCTGCTCTGAAAATATTCAACGCGGGCCGCGATGCTGGTAACAGAGGAAGAGGAAGGCCTCCTCTGCGTTGGAAAAACCAGGTGGAGAAGGACTTGGCTTCACTTGGCATTTCCAATTGGCGTCAGTTAGCACAGAAGAGAAATGACTGGCGTGCTGTTTTGGACTCGGCCAAAATCGCTTAGGCGGTTACAGCGCCAATAAAGAAGAAGAAGAAGATGTGGTGTAGTGATAAGCAGTGCGCGCTTCCACTCCGCAGCACCTGGGTTCAAACCCTGGGCAAAGCAACATCGCAAAAAAGATAGAAAAAAGGTTTTTTCTTAACAGCGGTCGTCCTTCGGCAGGCAATGGCAAACCTCCAAGTGTGTTTCTGCCATGAGAAATAGGTTCTCATAAAAATTGCAATCGCCGTTCGTAGTCGGCGTAAAACTGTATGTCCCTCTGCTTTGTGTGACAACATCAAGGCGCACGCCACAAATCGGATTAGAAGCTCGTCCAAACACTAGCATATGTGTAAGCGCCAATCTATTATTATTATTATATCTTCTTTACTTTTCAATTGCGCCAAATAACCTTTATATCGTTGAAATCAGCGTAAAAAGTACTATCGACCTGCTTCCATAGCTGAACTGACACAACACGTTGACTTAAAAAGACACAATACTGAGAAAAAGTTGAGAATATATAGCCCAGGGGATAAACTTTTCGTAAAAACTAATAAAAGAAGAGACAAAAAATTCACAAAACTTTACTTTGAAAACACAGTGCAAAAGGGCCTCGTGGTATTAACATATTGATAAGTTAAATGCGCTAACGGTGACAGTAAATAAATTATTGGAAAATGCTAAGCAGACTCAAATAGATACAGGCAACCTTTTTTTCATAGCCACCGCCAGAAATAGAGCAGTGATAGTTGAATTAGAATTCGTTATAACATTAGTCAATCTTGAAAAAATAGTTGCTATAAATCGTATTTTTTTGAACGGTGTAGAAATTAAGGACATCTTAGCTGCGGAGCAACTGTCAACGTCAAGTCAACGTTAGCATAAGCGATTTATTACAAATTTCTAAAATTAAAATTTTTTAAGATATGCAATGTATTTATTTTATTCTAAAATACCCAGAAATAGCTAGAGTTTGTAACCATGTAAAGCTGTTGTCTGTGTTGTCTGATGAGACGCTAATTTCTTTGGAAACGGATGCCGTAGCGGAATGCACGGGAAATTACATTCCACTGCACGATTTCAAAGAAACTGATGACGAGCTTTTGTCAGCCGTTGAAGGAAAGCCCTTGCACGTTACAGCTGCTTCATAAAAATACTGCGGACTGTAAATCAAAATCTGCTGATCACGTTGCCCTTATCGAAGAAATTGGCAATGACAATTGGTTAATAAACAATCAACCAGCGTCGGTCGGGCTAAGACGGAAATTGACAAAAAGTACTTTCCGTATAACTTTTTATGCGGAAATTACAATTAACACCACCACTTGAAAGAATTGGAACATAATAGACTGCTGGTGCCCGAAGCTGTGCCTGTGCAACGTATTTATTTTACTGATCATATAACCTTATTCTCCTCCCTCCCTCTTATCTCCCCCATACTTACATAAGATCAACATAAAGTATCTCAACCATATAACACATGTGCAGAATCCCATCAATACCCGCAGTCAGAAAGCGCCCTACTCCTGCTCCTAATAGTCATTGCTATGATTCTTGAAACGGCGACAAAGCAATACAGTTATACTGAATAGAGTCATAAGAGAAGCCGAGGACGCCTTCACTCGAAGAGGGGGAGTAGTTAACACCAGCAACAGCGTATTAGGCGGAAATTCCATTCCCACCCAAACTGCTGACGATGCGTTGGCAACTGGCGCGTGACAACAACTTAATTCCCAACAACATAAAAAAGCGAACAGCGTAAACCGATACTACCACCATACGCGACTGCAACGATGCTAAAGCGACCAGCGTAAACCGATACCACCATCATACGGCAAATGCTCGATCAGCTACTTTGAAGTGAGGCGGCTGTCCACAGGTGACAACTGTAAGTTTCGAGGCCAAGGGAGATATAGATTCAGCCGCAGTCGCCGAGCAATTCAGTTGTATTAACTCACCCGCCATAACCGGCTGCCCTTGCTATCGTCCAAGGAAAATATATTATTTAAAAAGTAAACCCGTGTTTTACTGTGCATATAGCATTGAAATTAATAAAGGAAAACAAATATTTAGTTCAACGTTATCATATTAGTTTTTTATTTAGAACAGGGGGTTTTGGATGTATTCTAAAATGGAGACAAGAGCCACAATAAAGATGAAATAACGCCCGCGGGTGTTGCTGCGCTCCACCGAGGCATTTCACTACAATGGTTCCATCCTTCTCCTCATACCCACGAGCATTAGGTTACTTTAAAATGTTAAAATTAAATGATAAAAGTTTTCTTCTTTCCAAAACGAACGAATCTAGTGTAATAAGACTTGTGTCTCACCAAATGACAAAAAATTACAGTGAGTAAATTATGACTATAAATTGAGAAACAAAATTCCATTTTTACAATTTTTATTGGTACACTCGAAATTCAATCTAAAATTGCTATATACACGATGAAAGAAAAAAATATGCGCATGAGGAATATTGTATAAAAATCGTAAACGCCAGTATTTAAACGCTTTTTAATAATATGGCTTTCAAATTAAGGCGTGCGAGTAAACATGTTTGATGAATCGTATGGTGCTACGGGGCGTATACGTTACATACGCAACTACGGGTATATGAGCATGAGTGGTTATTTATACTTTTTTATACCCGAGCGCACTTGTGCACAAGGGTATATTAATTTTGTTCACATAACGGTTGTTTGTAACAGCCAAAACGAATCGAAATAGACATAGACAAATGTATACATAAATGATCAGAATGAAAAAAGAAATCGATTAAGCCATGTCTGTCTGTCCGTCCGTCCGTCCGTCCGTCCATGTACACGATAACTCGAACAAAAATTGAGATATCTGAACGAAATTTGGTATGTAGGTTTACATTTATCCAAGGTAGGTTGGTATTGAAAATGGGCGAAATCGGAGTTTAACCACGCCCACTTTTCATATAACGGTAATTTTTAGAAATTCGAAAACTGCGATATTTTAGTAACTACTGGAGTTTATTCCCTCAAAATTGATATTTACAATAAGTTTTAGACGACAAATAAGAATATTATAGATTTTCTGAAAATGGGCGTAACCACGCCCACTTATGGTTACATGTGTATATCTTGGTAACCGCTGCACCAATTTCTTCCAAACTTGGCACAGTTGTTGGCCTTCGCATAACATACCAAATGGCCGAAAATTTTTAAAATCGCTCAATAACCACGCCTACTTCCCATATAACGGTAATTTTCAGAAATACGAAAACTGCGATATTTTAGTAACTACTGAAGATAATTCACTCAAAATTGATATTTACAATAAGTTTTAGACGAAAAATAAGAATATTATAAATTTTTGGAAAATGGGCGTAGCCACGCCCACTTATGGTTACATGTGTATATCTTGGTAACCGCTGCACCAATTTCTTCCAAACTTGGCACAGTTGTTAACCATGATACAGCATACTAAATGGCGCAGTTGTTGGCCTTGGTATAACATACCAAATGGCCGAAAATTTCAAAAATCGGACAACAACCACGNATACAGCATACTAAATGGCGCAGTTGTATAACATACCAAATGGCCGAAAATTTCAAAAATCGGACAACAACCACGCCCACATCCCATATAACGGTAATTTAGAGAAATACAAAATTTTCGATAAATCAGTAAATAATAAAGCTAATGTATTTAAAATTGATGCTTGCAACAATTCATAACCAAGAAATACGTCTATGGTAAAATTTTGGAAAATGGGCGTGGCACCGCCCACTTTTGATGACATATATGTATGTATCTCGGTAACCGTTCTACCAATTTTTACCAAACTCGGTATGGTTATTGTGCTTGCCACATAAACGCAAAACGTTGAAAATTATTGAAATCGGACTAAAATTACGGCCGCTTTACATATAACGCTAAATTTCAGAACGGCTTGAAACTTCAAAATTTCGAAATTTAAGGACGCTAATTTACTCAAAGTTGATACACCCCGGCTTAAAATGTAGCGGCAGCTTTCGGTAAGGTGAAAAACATATATTTAATACGTGCGCCGGGTATTTAATGTTCGGCTCCGCCCGAACTTAGACTTTCTTACTTGTTAGTATATCATTTTTAAGTTTTCATTTAAACAATTTCGCGATCTATTCTTGTTCTTTATACAAAACTGAAGATAATGCATTTTTTAAGATAGGTGAACCACCATTTTCTACCAAAAACACGTTTTTGTCGAAAAATGTAACAACTCGTGAGATTTGCTCATATACCAAAAAAATACATACCTTTGACTGTGACAAAATCCCAGCAAACACAGTCTCTAAGGTTAGAGAAATTTCTAAAATGTAGAAAGATAACTAGGGTAATTCTCTAATCGTTCCCAAGTCGATGAAGAAGTTAGAGAACTACATTAGAACTCGATTCGAGAACGATTAGAGAAACAACGCAAATTAAAATAAATGTAAATAAGCAATATTCCAATTGAATGAATCATATATAATTTTATTATTTTAAGTTCAAATAATTCATTATTATTTCATTGCAAATGCATTCAACACAAATTTTACAAACAAACCTTGTTATTTATTAAAGCAAAAGAGGAGTTTGAAATTCACATTCGAAACCCATTAGAAGTCAACATTAGAATTCGATTAGAGAATTAATATTTTCTCGAGTCGAGATCGCTATGGTTCTCGATAGATTTTCGAGTCGTTCTCTAACGTTTAAGATTGAAAAATGTGGCTAGTTCTCCAATCATTCTCTAATCGATAACTAACCTCAATGTTTGCTGGGATGTAGACGGCGCACAGTGATATTTGATACCCATTTTGTGCCCATTATTTAAGAAATTAGTATACTCGCATGAATTTAAGTCTACAGGGGTTTTTGAGGCCCCTAAAATCTTAAACACAATAATTTTGTTAAAAATAATACGAATGGTCGCTAAATTCGAATCTGAAATCAAAATAACTAAAAACAATAAGGCGCCTGAAATTAATAGAAATGTGTTGAGTTTGAAAAATGTTTAACAAATTCACGTAAAATTTAGTTTTATTTGTTAAGTTTGTATTTAAAATTCTTAAATAAAAATGCCGTTGAAATATAATATTGTCATGTTGGCGTGTATCTTACATGAAATTAAATTATTTAAAAAATCATGTTCAGAAAAACTTTCAATATTGTATGGTACAAAATCGCGTCTTAAACAAAAGGTCGGACACTGCCCTGTAGAAGNATTTAACAAATTCACGTAAAATTTAGTTATATTTGTTAAGTTTGTATTTAAAATTCTTAAATAAAAATGCCGTTGAAATATAATATTGTCATGTTGGCGTGTATCTTACATGAAATTAAATTATTTAAAAAATCATGTTCAGAAAAACTTTCAATATTGTATGGTACAAAATCGCGTCTTAAACAAAAGGTCGGACACTGCCCTGTAGAAGAAGACCCCGTTTGACAAAATTTAGCATTACAATTTTACTTTTCAGAGCTTTGCGTCAACACTTCACTAACACCTTCACACTGATCATATAAACAGGTGCAAAAGGTAGCGGAAACATTATTTTAGCCAACCCAAGAGAATAAAACCCCAAAATCGATACTTTATTTTTGGATTTATGTGCACGAATTGAGGACCAAGTATCACTGTGCGGCGTCGCTTTCCAATTTTGTTTGGGGAACAACAACACCACAGATTTTACGGTTAGAAAATATCTCAAAATGTAGACGTGCTAGAGTCGAGTTATTTATAAAAGCCGTATTTATGAACCGATTTTGATAATGAAAATTCGAAACGGTTATTACTTTCCTGATGATTTTTTTCATTCGAAGCATATTACATAGATAAAATGATAGCCATTTTTTTTCGGACTAAACTCCAAGACCACTGAATAGAGCTCAGTCAAATTGTCGGAGGTTATACCTTTCATATATGGTCCTATGATAGGCTACTAGAAAACATGCTGGTGGCACTGGACTAGAGTTACTTATAAAATTCGTATTTATTAACCGATTTCGTTCAAATTCGCAAGGTGTATGATGAAAAATGTCTTTGCTAAAAATGGACCCGCTGGAGTTTAGGTATTTAAAAAGACGTATTTCTTATAAAATCTGATTGAAATTCATAAAGCGTATTAATTTCATGACAAGCAAAGGTTTTGCAGAAAATGGACCCAATGGATGACGCTGCAGCCGAAATATATAGAAACCCCCACGGGTTGTCCTGCTTTGGCCCTATGTTTATCTGAGATGAATTTACTTTTCAGATGGCTAAGTATGCATATAAAGACCGTAACACTGTGTAAGCGTGATCTTGCAACTACCGCCGATTGACGAAATTGCTCGAGGCGGCCGTTATAAAAGCAGTAAGACTCAAAGAAACCAGTTAATAAATATCAAAGACGAATTGTAAAAGTGGCGAATTGACAAGCAAAGATTCGACCACATCTGTCCAGGAAGGAAATCGATAGGTATATCATTGGCTTCATTTGAATGATATTCAAGAGATCACACGAGTTATTTAGCCAATATACGGGAAAACTTTTCATCCTGTGGGACAGCGAGGATTCTTGGCCCCCCTATATCTGAAAATGCTAATCTGTGCTTTTGAGTTTCCTTATAAGAACTTTTATTATATATATAGTACATCGGACCAATGCGGAAGTTGCAAGATCATAGAAGAATATTACGCATGCTTGGCAGAGATCTCACGGGTGGAAATAAGACCATCGGTAAAACGCATGTCATCGTAAGGGATTAGTATTCCATATGGTATCATACCGCTACTATTCTTGGCATATGTGTGAGGTGGATTCCGCTCTTTAGTCGTTTCAATTTAATCTAAAAATATTTACTTTACAGACCGATTTTGCTTTTAAACGCTATTTTTGTATTGGCCAACGCAAAAGATCTTATTAGGCGCCGCGAGCAGGCGGGCATTTGCTAGTACATACATATAA